TCCAGCCGTTTAAAAATGTAAAAACTCTTCTTAGTTTGCAGGTGTTGGATAGATCTGACTTGTGAGCCACAGTTTGTTGTAGACCCTTGACTAGAAGCAGCAGAGAAGAGTCAAGAAAAGCTTCTCAGGGAAGGTGACACTTGATTTGGACTTTTAAAGAATAGAGTCTTTTAAAGAAAGACACCAGCTCAAAAAAGAGTTGAGGGGCCGGCTGGGTGGTGCGGTGGTTGGGTTCATGTGCTCTGCTTCAGCAGCTGGGAGTTGGAGGATTCAGATCCTGGGCACGGACCTACACACCGCTCATCAGGTCACGCTGTGCTGGCGTTCCACATACAAAATTGAGGAAGACCGGCACAGATGTTAGCTCAGGGACCATCTTCCTTAAGCAAAAAGAAGAAGATTGGCAAGAGATCTTAGCTCAGGACCAACCTTCCCCATCAAAAAAAAAAAAAAAAAAAAAAGAGTTGAATGAGGGGGTGGGGAATGAGGAAGGACATTTAAGATTGAGGAAACGGTATCACAGAAAATAGAAGAAAATCATAGGGTTGAGTGTAATTCTGTAAAAACAAGGATTTGGTAAAGAGTTAATATTGCAGTCTTTTTTTCTAGAATTGATAATTTTGGTGGATTAAGGATAGGACTATTATATAGTCTCTGTATGAACATTTCTTTTTACAAAAATAGTACATGATCATTAAGAAAAATCAGAATAAACAGATAAGGAAAAGAACATAAAGAATTCCCATTATCCCACCTACACAGAAAGACTACTGATAACCCTTTAGTGTATATCCTTTTAGAACATCTTAATGCATATTTAAACACATATAACTGTTTTCTACAAAAAGGGGAAGATAGCATACATACCATTATATAACCCACCATATTTTATTTCAAAAATTCAATGTCAAAATTTATTGGCTAAGTTATTTTGATTAGCCCTCTGATCTTCGATATTTAGTTTCTTCCAATTCATTCCTTTGATTTATTCTAACTTTTAACTGTTCTGAAAGCTCTTGGAAGAAATGATTGGCTGAATGATTGACAGCTAAAAAGCCATCTGCCAATAGCCAAGAGCTGTGAGGCATCATTGTGGTACATCAAAACTGGAAATTAGGTTATAACCAAATTGTCATGTTTACCAACTTTCTCTCAGCCAAATTGTATGCTTATCCAAACCACAAAGCATGCATTAGTAAGATGTATTTCAAAAAGTCCATACAATTTTCTACTTCTCAATAAAAAGGCTGGGATGGATTGAGAGTTGTAGGTGGCCATCCTGAACAACTTAACGCAAGCTAAGGAATGTGGACTTAATTATGAAAGTCATAGGAAGCATTAAAGGATTTCAAGAGGAGGAGGGACATGATGTTCATGCAGGTTTTGAAAGCATGACTTGTGTAACCGAGAGGAGGATGGACTCAGTCAGGCCCAGGCTGGTGGCAGGAAGACCAGTTAGAAGACCATTGTAACAATCTAAGAATGAAGTGATGCCAACTTGAGCTGCGAATGCTGAGTGGGTGTAAAGAGGCCAGAACAGATAGAGCAGAGACTTAGAAACCATCTACTCCACAGAATTTAGTTACTGGTTGGATGTAGGGGGCAGGAGGCAACAAAAGAGAGGTGTCTATGTTGATGCTTATGTTCCTGGCTGAGCCATTTGAGTGGATAGTGGTGCCACAAAATGGGCTAGGGAATACAGCAGGAGCAGGTTTGGAGGAAGCAGGTGAGTTCAGTTTTAAATATATCACGTCTGGTCTGAGGTGCCTGTCCATTTATGTGTGGGTCAAGAATCATGGGGGTGGGATTTGTGCTGGAAATAAGGATTTGGGCAGTCATGTGGTATGAGTGGCACTTAAAGATGGGGATTTGGATGAGGTCACTCAGAGAGTGTGGCGAAGAGCAGCGGCTGTGACCAGAGAGAAATCAGAGGAGAATCATGTGGCAAAGCAGAGAGTTGCACTAAGGAAGGAGCAGTCAGCAGCATAAAATGCCTCAGCGAGTTCTGGAGCTTGAAAGTGTTCACTTGAACTGGTGATCTTGGAGAGAGCTAGTCTACGGCAGCAGAGGAGATGGAAGTCGAATGGTAGGGGTACAGTGGGACGACTCAGCCCGATGAAGAGTATAGTGGAATGCTTCAAAACTCAGGTATGTTGCTCTGGTGGACCATCAGAGGGTCCACAAATCTGAGTACAAAGGGCACATCTTCTTGGCATGTCATTTTTACTTGACATGAGAAATAAAAATTATATTTTTTATATATATACACACACGTAATTATTTTTACTGGACATGAGAAAATATATATAATATATATATTTAAATATAAATAAGATATATTTTTTCTCATGCCCAGTAAACATGACACGTGTGTGCATATATATGTGTGTGTGTGTGTGTGTGCGTATAATCTAGTTAAAGTCAACTGGAAACCTCATTCCACCTCTGTGACAGTCAAAATCTCCTACAGGATTTCTGAGGATTCCTGGGATGGAGGGGTGGTTGCAGGCTCATCTGCTCATGGTTGTTTCTGGCTTCATACTACCAGCATGCATCTTGCAAACCTATTTAATGGCCCCATTTCTAACTACATTGACCTAATGTGGCAATCAGCCTTCTTTCTTGATCTCCACAGGTTCAACATTGCATGAACATTTGGGAAATGAAGGTGGGGTTGACATTACAGCAACACAAATGACTTCAAATTGAACATGAGACGTCAGAGTTATTAGAAATCCTCTGGCTATCTCACCATCAGAGAGGTTTTCCCAGCAGCTATGTTATCCCACATAATAGTCAGTGTTCTCTTGCTAGTTTTTCACTTCCTTCCTCTCCTTTCATGATTCTGTCTCAACACTATCCACCTGAATTGCTCTTCGGAATTCCAATTTTTTTCACTCTGTTATGCACAGCAAATTCAGCTCTCTCTAGCCCCACTCCCAAAGAGCGGCTCCAGTCTACCTTTGCATATCCAACTGGTCAGTGTGGTGCAGATCAAAAGAGAGTTTGATTTAACAGGAACCACCCTAAAGTTATTGTTGTGAATTGAATTTCTCCTCTCTGGAAAATGGTATATCCTCTCCTTGGCCACCACAAAAACTCTTGTTGAGTCACTCACAATCTGTTATCTGCACTGTTGTTTCTGAACTTGTTTCTTCTTAACTAGTTGCTAACCAGTTGCTTTCTAACTGGTTTCTCTGTCTCCATTCTCACTCACCCCAATTTGTCTTCAAGATGCTAGAGTGATATTTTTGCACAATGCAATTCTGATGACATCAGTCACCTGTTTGAAATTCTTCAGAGGTAAACCATATTCTACAGAATAAAGTTCCAATCCCTTAACACGGCAAACATGGCCCTGATTATCTTTCTGTCTCATCTTCCATTACTTGTCCTCATGTACCCTATGCTTAGACCATACTGAGCAACTTGCAGTTCACTGAACAACTGATAGGCCGTCCTGACACACACCTTTTCACACACCATTCTACCTGTCTAGAATTCCCCTCCCACTCTGTACATCTGGTTAGCACCTACGCATCCTTCAAAGGAGACCTGGAAAGATCAGTAGCTTATTGACCCAGGAGATAGGGAAAAGGCCATCCTTCAAAACAATCTCTGTCCTTCTCCACACTGCCCCTGGGTGACCTCTTCCAAACCCCTATCTTTAAATATACTCATACCGCATGACCCCCACATCCTTACTTCCAGCACAAATCCTACCCCTATGATTCTAAACCCACACATTCAAATGGACAGGCACCTCAGACACAGTGTATTCAACACTGAATGCATCTTCTTCCTCCAAGACCTGTTATATTCTATATCCCACAATCTCACAATTCACTTTTCCATGCATTATATACCATTTGTGTACGTCTTAATCTTCCTACTGTCCCACTGGACTATCTATCCTGGAGGTGAGGGACTGTATCTTATTTTTGTGCTTAATAAACAGCAAGCATTCAATACATATATTTGAATAGACAAATATCCTTAGCTAGTCAACAACAATGAACAGACAACATGACAGTATCTTTCTCACTGTCCCTCCCAGGGTGGCCGACAGTAGCATGGGACCAAAAAGGATCATGGTTGAGAAATGAAGTTCCAGAGGCAGGATTGGTCCCACTAGGACAGGGGAGGACGTGCACATGGAGGCCAACCGGCTCCAAGGAGCATATCATTAAGGAGCAGCCAACGGTAGGCATTCCCTCTGTGCCCATGGTAGGGCCAGAGTTCTGAGAATGTCCACAACCCCTCTCGCTGGTCCTCCTCCCTCAAAGACGCCACCCCTTTTCCATGTGTGATCTGGGGGCAGTGGTCAGGCTGTTGTCATGCATGGCTGTGCAGGCTACAGTCTGGAGAGCATTTGGGCAACCTGAGGACTGCCAACTAGAAAACAGAAGTCCTGTTCTCTAGATAAACCATCTTGAGGTAAAATTAGTATAATCTTTAAAACCCTCACTCTTGAGTTCATTAGACAAATTTGCATTCCAAAGTGGAGGTTTTTCCTTTGATATATTATCTGTTTGTACACTGGCTATGCTGCACTGATTTTGAGACAACTGATCACTTGTTCCAGATTGAAACATTGTGTAATCAGCCATATAGTCTTTATTACAAGTTAAAGAGTTTCTTAGAAACTTCTGGAATTTTAAAAAATTCAGCATATAATTGAAAAGTATACCCATTTCCTCTGATCAAAATACGTTGGTCACCAGCACAAATTGCTAAATTCTCTCTCTTCCTGAACGAAATCCCTGTTACATAAACACAAAAACAAATGGTCTACAGTCAGTCTCAGGTTACAATTTGCAAGTTGCCCTCCCTGACTTTATCGTGCATTAATTCCCCTTCAAGCTGGGGCTGAGTGGTGGCAGCACCCCAGACTGAAAACCAGGACATTCACGGGAACTAATAATCCAACAAAGAGCAGCTCAGAGGAACTCCACATTGAAGCAAAATTGGGAAAATAAAGCTTTTTTTGACATTTAAAGGAAGAGTCAGAGGGCAAATACATTTATTTCTACATATTTGTGAATGTCTTTCTAGAAGTTATACCTTAATTTTCTGCAGCTTATGCTTTACCAACATGTTACCAGTTGGAAGTTGCAGGGACTACAGTGGACCAGCAGAAAGCTGAAAGTACCCCATTCCCGGGCAGTAAGGTAATACTCACTGACGGCCCAATTTATTTTTCTCTAAACGCTGCCCAGAATTTTTGGTGACTCTTTTCAGAGACTCATAGAAAGTTTAACAGAAATCTTGACCTGTCAGAACTTGTTGGGATAGATAACATACTTTTGCTCCAGAGTTGTCACTAGTAAAAGTTGTTTTTAAGCAAATGCAGATTTTTTTTAATATAGGCAAAAAAACCCACAAAAAACAAATCCAAATTCTTCTCCACATATGATATTCATAAATTAAAAGTCACCATTGGGGTGATAAAAATATGAAATAAATGGAAAATGCTTAAGGAAAGAAGACACATTGGCAGAGATTACTTGAAGTTCAGAGAGAGGACTCTGAGGTAATTCCAAATAAATTCTTGTGTAATCATTTATTAGGCATTTGGGATTACTCAGACATGCCAGTTACCTAATCTAATATTTCAAATGGAAAAAATATTTTAATGGTGATGGAAGGGGGATGGGAGTTGGGGATGAGCAAACCAAAGACAAATTTTAAGAGACTTTTTGTTCAGTGAATACACCAAAACTCTAAGGCTGTACTAATCTTCAAACCCGGCTTCGCTTGCTTTAGGGGTTGCTGATTTAGCTGCATGATTCTAACTTATTTTCCTTCCTGTTGCATTTTTTTTTTTTTTTTTTTTTGAAAACAGAGAATCACACCATTTCCCTTTGGGTCTTTGCATGTGCATAAGCAGAACAATCCCAAGCCTTCTACATTTGAAGTAAAGATATTGGAGTATTATTTTTATTTTTTACCCAGACCATCACTGGTATCTTGACATAACTGGGAGGTGGGGAACTATAGTGGTTAAGGGGACAGCTTTTGTATTAAGACAAATCGAAATCTAAGGCTCAGCTCTGCCACTTACTAGCTATTTAACTTAGTGAAAATTATTTAACCTGTTTCATTTGCCTTGGCTGAAAAATTGGGTTAAGAACTTCCTTCTGTAAAACATTTTCATGTCGTGCCCAACACTTAATAAGTATTTCAGTATATACTGGTTGGTATTGTGATGGATCCTTTTAAACATGATTTTTCTCAAAGGAAAAACATCTCAGTGATGAAAGGTCTGGGAGTGGAGCACGACCATGGGACTTTTGGAAGCCCCTATAAATGGCTTCATTGTCATCAAAAAGTAGCCTGGTCTGAAACTTGGTGAGCACCCACATTATAGTACCCCCGTAGAAAGGATGGGCTAGGGGATGCCGCCTGAGGAAGTCTGAGAGCAGTCTACACGGAGAATTGCAAACTAAGTGGGCAGATGTTGACTGTGCTCTCCGGGGAAAGTGTTTATTAGAAAACCACCTGGGGGGGCTGGTCAATGTACTGCCACTACAAAACAGGACCAGTATTTGATGAGGTGTTCTTGCTATTACTCACAAGCAGTCCATGGAATTTTCACTGTGCTTCATACGCCAGTATCAACTCACAAGTTTCAGGAAGCCAGACAAGCAAAACCAAATCCTCTTCTGTGTATTTTATACCCCGTAGACGACTTAATTACCCAACAATTACTGTTAATTTCTGTAATGGGGGAGGGAAGTAAGAGGACATGACAGGAACCATAAAACAAAAAATTGTACTGGATGATTTCTAGGAGGGGTAAGCATAATCGAGGTTATTGCTTTGATATCAGAGAAAGGGTAAAGCTGGAGAGTGATTTAAGGGGACAATGCTTCAAGAGAAGTAGTAACCAAAGATTGGGATGCAGTCCTCATAATTCTCTGAAATCTGTTGGTTCTTCTGTTTTCCTGCTCAACATTGTGCAGTAGTTTCTATCTTCTGAGGAGATGCTGTGAAAAAAAATGCCATTGGGAATTTAGGTGTGGAAACCAAACAACTTGGGAAAAAAGTTTTCTGTATTTTCAACTTTGTTGTTATTGCCTTCAAGTCAGTTTCTACTCCTAGAGTGGAACCCTGCCCGGTCTTTTTGTGCCCTCCTCTCATCTTCCAATGCTCTATCAGACAAGGCTCTGCTGCTATGTGTCGGGTGTTCACGGCCATTTTCACAAGTGGGTGGCCAGGTCCTTCTTCCTCGTCTGGAAGCTCTGCTGAAACTTGTCCACCGTGGGTGACTTTCCCGGTATTTGAAATACCAGTGGCACAGCTTTCAGCATCACAGCAACATGCAGCCTCTACAGTACGACAACCAACAGACGGGTGGTGTGGTTCCCTGATTGGGAAACAACCCCGGGCCAGGGCTGTGAGAGTGCCGAATCTTACTCACCAGACCACCAGGACTGGCATTTTGAACTTTACACAGCATTGTTTTTGTTCCTCCGGAAGATTTGCCAGACAGCTCTGGTAAGTCAATTAATACCATTGTCAAGGTGCACATTTATTCAGGCCAGTTATTCCAGAAGAAATAGATGATAGTCTAAATGTCGCCAGCACTTACATTTCGCTGAATAGTGTGTTGGATGTCAAGATTTGCGCATGTCCAAAATTCCATGCCTAATGCTTGGTCCTTTGTCCATTTATAAGAGAACAAACAGCCATGTAGAAATGCTGACTTAGTACTGACAAAACTCCTAAAGGATACACACATATTTCCTGTATCGTATCAGTGATTTAAACTGTCACCACATTCAGAGATAAATTATACAGCAATTCAATATTAACAATCCTGCATAAAACAGCCTGCAGTCACCAAAACTTTAAATCAGCTTATGTTTTCACCACTGAACCCACTGCCAGTCTTGTGGGTAATGACTACAAATGTAAGTCTTTTCCTTATCTTTTTCTGTTTTCCCCCAATTTTCTCATTAGATGCTGAGCATGCAGTCACGTAAACTTCCTAAGAATCATGACCTGTGGCTAAAAAGTTATTTCTCAATCTAAATGGAGTCAGACAAGAACTTGCAGGCTAATTCTTCCTCCTGGTACCTGGGCAAGTCTTTAATTAGCACAGGACAGGATGGTTGCATAAGTATATTTTATATACATCAATATACATAAATGCCCCTGCTCATGCACATGAACACGAAGATAATTTCTTAAACAACATTAAGTGGCTCCAAGGCTGGCATCTCCAGTGACCTGCTGGAGCAGACCTTGTGTTTTAGACAGGTTTGGAAGTGGCTCACATGGCCTCAGCCATTGGAACCCACACACGTGTATCTCCAACACTTAGCGCCAAGGTTCTTCCAGCCCTCTTTCCTTTTCCACCAACGCACATCTTTTTGCCATTCTTTCATAACCAGTCATCAGCACACCTTCTAGTCCTAATCCAACTGTGTCAAGATAATTTAACAAACTACAAAAGCCTGCTAAGGAGTTGGTGAGGGGTGGAGAAGCCTGATTCCTAATGGTTCTTACTATTATGTGGTCCATGAATTTCCTCTATTACCCTGATCTTCGAGATATTATTAGTACATGAAATGAGAGATTTGTTTTATTCTGGGGTCTACTTCCAACTTAAAGTAACAATAACCATTTGAAACAGTTTGGTTTAGTCTAGGACATTAGTATAACACTTGCATTCAAGTGCATTCACTTAGCTCTGAAAATAATCCGAGCATTTTTGAAGACTTCGGAACATGATATAGAAGAATATTTACTTAATGTTTCCGTTCCTTCTTGCTTTATTCACAAGTTCCCATTAATATTTAAGAAACGTATGTATTTGAAAGCTTTTTGGAGAAAATTCTCAAAAAGATTCCTTCACAGTTTTTACGATACATCCCTACCCTCAATTTGTGGAAAATCTCATCAATGTAAAAATACAGCAATGATTTTCACATGCTGAAAGATACTCCAAAGTTTTATTATAATGTCCAGCAGTTTGCATGTGGGATCATTACTGCAATTCTAATTTATCACATATTACAAATCATGACCAAGATATGAAGACAGAGTTACATCTAAGTGTTAACCAGCCAGGCAGTGGAAAGAACACAACCACATTTTTTCCTAAAAGTTATCCTACCTTTTCCAACAATCCACTAAATCTCATTTGAGTTCAACTGTACATAACGATTAATGAAGTAAGAGTTACAGAATCAAAACTGAACTCAAATGCACAGTATATTTGCTTCTCCCTATCTCTCTTTTCCTAAGCTGACTATTGGAACAGTCAGCAGAACAACATTTGGTTTAATAATTTAGATAGTTGGGAAATGAAGAAACATATATGAAAGATACAGTAACTCTTATCAAACCAGTTTTTCTCTTGTTATGGGTTCTGGAAAACAAAGTGATGAATGTGCAAAGCAAACAGAAGGATGCTGACAGGGCTCAGGTGGTGCATAGAATTTCTCTCCTTGCACACAGTCTAACTGGCATAAACGATGTCAGGCTGACCCAAGGATGGTGGCTGTAAAACTTGTGGGCACTGGTGCAAATCTAAAGCAATCATCCAGCTCAGAATCCACTTGAACTTTCTAAACATCTTTAGGCAACATGTTATATAGCATACAGGCATTTAACCATGGCCAAAGCAAGGACCAGCTAAATAGAATCCTAAGGTACTCTATTTAGAGGTGGCTTGGAAAGAAAGTGGCTGCAATTCTAGAACTATGCTCATTAAATTATATTCTCTCAGAATTACCACAGTATTAATGTTAACTACATCACAACCTTCAGCACATATCCACAGCTAAGTTCAGAAAAGTCTTTAAAAAAAGAAACAAATATTTTGAATTTTCCATTTGAATGGTGTAGACTGAGCTTTACCTGAATATACAAGTAAGAAAGACTTGGCCCTTCTACGTTTACATCCTTGCTCAATAAACAAACAAAAACCAAATAACCTATTTCATCAGCTTCTTCCTAACTAGTTATCATCCTTCAAAATGGAGATTCTAATCCACTTCTTAACTTTACCTGCTGAGTGTTCCCGCAATCCCAACCTTAAAACAAAACTCTGCTTGCCAACACAATTCTATTTTCTGCCTCCTTAGATTCCTACCCTAGCAAACAAAAAGAAAAAAAAAAAGCCGATTTAAGGGGCTAGAGTTGTCTTACAGACAACTACAGAATCGAGACATCATGAACAGCTTGGTTTGTTTCCCTATAGTTAACTGGACATAATGCCTTTTTCTTTCCTTTTCCTTAATGTGTTTCTTTCAACACCACAACTAGATGCAAGTTTTATTTTCCTGCCTTTTTTCCAATAAGGATGAAGTACATGCAACTAAATTAGAACCTTCCCTCTCTCACTAATAGGGAAACCAGGAAGTTGGATTTAAAGCGTTCAGTTTGTCCTTGTGCTCCTTGGAAGAACTCCCGGTCTTTAAATTGACAGTGCAGCTGTTGACTGAAAATTATACAGAAAGATTAATACATTCTTAAACTAATTTTCTGTCAGGCAAGTTGACTGTAAGGATTTACAAAATACGTTTAAACAAGGCAATGCCCATTTACATTCATAAGAAACCAATGAAAATAATTTGTATGTAGAATAAGAAGTTCAATTTCGTTTCAACCCAGTACTAAATAACAGAAGTGTCCTGTGGTGACCGAATGCTTGGACAATGTAGGGTGACTGCCATCATTGAGCCAAAATATGATCACATGCGTCAGAGTCAGAGGCCCGCTCCTCAAAGCAGGCCAGCTTTCCCAGAGACAGGAACAGGACGCTGGTGGCTTCTATCAACACGCAGATGACACGTGAGAAAGGGTGAATTTTGTAGCCATAAATCTTTCAAAAACAAAGTAAATCTGCAATTTATCCATAATTTAAGAAAAATAGAGAAAACAGGTTAAGGCAGTATCAGGGTGCATGGAAAAGAGCAACTGAAATAGTCAGATCTGCCTTCTAATGTTAGCTCCTTTTAACTAACCTGCAGCAAGCCCCTCAATCACTTTGAATAGGGGTACCCTCGCCCGGAGTGAGAGTAGGCTTGATATAACTCGATGGTCTCCAACGGTCTTTCAGTCTTGAAGTATTTCATATCTAAGGAGGAAGGGGATCTCTCTTACTCCACTGTCATAGTTTAATGCCCATCACATATTTAGTCTTAATAAACAGTTGTTTAAATATGGTGATATTGATGCTTAAAAATTCTTAGACTTGATGAAAATCCTCACATCCAGCAATAACTAAGGTAAAACTGTATTTAGGTCAAGACATACCTATGAATTCAAGACAGAAGATAATGTCAATATGACACTGGAACTTCAAGTTCTATAATGCAATTTGATGATGCTAAAACTGCACTTCCTCTTACACAGAAAATAAAAGAAGAATCCTTACTAAGGTAAGTATAGGGAATTTTTGTGGTTGTTAAAAAATTAAGGGACCACTTCAAATTTACTAGAAATTCTCCAATACACAAATATCTGACTAAACTAAAAACCACCTATAAACTACTTTTATATTTTACTCAAAATAATTATGTGCTATTCGTATCTTGATTTGTCAGTCTTGATGGTGGTACACATAACTAGATTAGATTTACACTGGATTTGTGTGAAATTAAATACTGTTATCAGTAATTAGTATGACCACTGATATTTATTTCAAAGAAAAAAATAGCTACGGTTGATTTATCTAGACATGTTTTGTTATAAAGCCAAAATTTTCAAAGGGCTCCTTCATGGCAATGGAGGATACCATGGATCACATATGGAAGTTAACAGTCTTACCAATAACTGCAAAGTATGTTCCTCATATTTATAGCCAGTTTATTATATCTTTTCCCAGTAGCTTCACTAAAAAAGCAAAGTTTAAAAAAAAATCCATAAATAAGAGACCAAAAGATCACAAGAAAATGCTGTGTTCTGGAGGTAAGATGTGACAATGTCAAGTGTACAAAGTAAAATTTCTCAACTTTTTCATAAAGAATTTTCTATTCTACTATAAATAGGCTTTATCTCTATACTTGTCCTTTAAGAACTCCATTCCTAAAGCAGAGTAAGTTATTTCAGGAATTTCTCTGTTGATTAGATAAACATAATGTGACAAGCAATTCTGAGGCACTTAAAAATTCTTTTTTTTTAGTTTGGTTAATACATTCTTAAAAGTGTTCACATTTGTGCAACAGAAACAAATTTTTAATAGAACGCGTTATTCTTCAAATGTTTAAATTTGGCTAAAGCTCTTAGAAGGCATTTTGTAGCATCCTACGCAATGGATTCCATAACTCAGTTTAATCTTCAGACACCCACTTGTGCCAGGGCCAGCAGAAAGAAAACTCTTATTTATCAAAAACCGAGTTTCCTGTTTAAGCACCATTTTTGATACCATTTATTAGGAGCTTTTAAGTCCCACATGAATCGCTATATTTGGCTTTTACTGAAACTACCAGTAAACTCCAATATCATTCTGATTTAGGAAACTTCAACATTTTTGGTATGCAAGAGTTCCAGTTTGACCTTGCAATATGAACATTCTGTATCCCACAGCAGTGGCTTCCAGGGAAGCTGCTGAGCAGCTGTCACGTTTCCCAGCAGAACAGGGTGTAACATTCTTTTGGTCACCATGTTTATTTAATGGCACACTCTAACTCTCAGGGCATGCAGTCTGCTGAAAACTTCAACCATTATCATTCACTGCTGTGTACCCTTTACTATACTCTACATTTTTCTTACCCATTTTAATCTCAACAATAAATAAATAGACACACTATTTTATATATTCGGGTCAAATTAATTTTATTATGCTCCATGATGAATTGCCACCAGTGCAACATCCTATTCACTATACATTTCAAAAAAAAAATTCACATACTAAACAAAATTTCAGTTGATAAATGGAAATGAATGATTGAAAGTTTCTATGAATCTCATACATACAATATGTGGCTAGCTGAAATTGTCTATCACGTAGCATTTAGATATAAAAAGCCTCATGCTAGTTTGTTAAATGCGAAGGCTACCAGACATCATTTAGCTGGAGTATACACGGGAGGCCTTCCGACAATGCACAGGTATAGTGCTGCCCACAGCGCAAGGTGGTGGAGGATGGACACATGCAACCTTTGCATCTAAGTGGATTTAGTCTTCATGCCTGGACTGAACCCCACAGCTGCTGTGTTTCAAGCAATAGTAATTTAGACTTTGTGCAACAGCAAACAGTGTTTTTTTTCTTTAAGAAGAAAGAATAAACTCAATTAGCTTTGGCAAATTTTATACCCATCTTACACGTTTAAAATTGTGTTTCCAACTCAAAGAATTGATATCCTCTGCTTGGAGCAGCTTCTGATAAACATTTATCATACCAAAGTTAGCTGGAAAACCCTGAATTCCTTGGCCAAAAGTTAAGAGAGATTGTAAATTGGCATTACTGTAAAGATATTTCTAGGATATTTAAAATGTTTTTTATAATGTCAAAAAGAAAAAAATGGAAAATGTTTAATATTACTTAAAATAATTACAATGTTCTATTTACCATTTGCACAAATTCCTAATTTCATTGGTTAGTAGTTGTCCAGACTCATCCACACCAGACCCACTGAGCTCAAGCCACAGTAAAAATTAGAGTAAGCAGAAAAAGGTTTCCAGCAGCAGAGGGCACTGTTTTTTGCAAGAAACAAAAAGTCTAGAATCTTTCCCATGTGCTTAAATTACTCTTGCAAGAAAGGTAGCATTCGTTGAATAACTTAACTATTTGACTGCACCACTTACTGCTTTCAGCAACAGAACCTTTCAAATTATTTCTTCTGATAACTAGATGCATGATCACTAGAGATTATGTGATAACTGTTAAAATTCAAGCCACATCTTGCAGGTCCAGCCTGTCAAGATCATGCCAATACTAGATTTTGGTCGGTATAATTCTAGAGAGCTTAATTTTTAGTTGGATATTGTGACTACAGTAATGAAATACATTTGGAACTACATTCTGCATATGACTCAATGTGAGAAAAATACGTGTCTGTATTTAAATCAGATCATTTTTCTACCTAAAGTTTAAAGTAGGTAGGTATGATAATTAGCACTATAAATATGAGACAACCACCTTTAGGCAGATTAGTGTATTGTAGAGAGGCAAGGAAACCCTAATTTTAACATATTATTTAGTATACATAACAAATGTGCAGTTTGTAAAGTTTTATTTTTTTTAAGAAAATCTATCATTCGGTTATGTGTACCAAGAAATCTGTCATTGGGACAACCAATCTTGTAAGAAAAATGTAACCCTTTCACCTGACATTTGACAAAAAACTTGAGTAAATATCAAAATTAAAATTAAAAAAAGCATAACAGGTTCAGCATTACAGTGTTTACCTTTATCAACTAGATTAGATTTTTATGGTTGGTATTTCTGAATACCTCAATCCATACAAACTGCAAAATAAAAATACTTAATTCCACATCATTTTCATAATGTTCTGATTCTTATAGTATATTTAGTCAAATACTGGAGTAACTATAATGTATAGCCTCCTTCAGTTCATGTAGAATGAAATTACCCCCATAACCCCCAAACTCAAACAACTTAAATAACATTTGTTTCAGAATAATACCAAAAATACTTACAAAATTTTTGCCAAAAAGCCTGCCACATTTGCTATAGCATAAAAATAACTTCAGTCAAGTACAGGTAGGTAAGGGCTCCTGATGATTCTAGCCTCCAAACACCACTGCTGCTCATGAACAGGCGATACTGCTTTGAGAGGTGTGTACTGATTTCCCCAACTAGAATCTCCGTAGTGATTTCATGTAGAGCGTATTGCTAAAATTTGAGAAACTGCATCAATGTAGTGATGTGTAGAGAACTGTGCAATGTATCAGCTTCAACATTCATGTAGCATTGTGTTCAAAATGAAGGGGCTAAATAATCTAAGGTCTGCATCACTTAAAAAAGAAGGTAGTGCTATACTAGATTTTAATAAGAAAATTTAGGTACAGAAAAAGTAGGGTATGAAAATAGTGTTTTCCTTCTGGCATTATAACTAAATTACATTAAGGTTCTTGTCAGTCTCACATATAATATTTAAACTCCCTTGTTGATGGAATGAAAAATATTCACAAATTAAGTGAGCATCCTGGTGTAAACTTGCACACAATAACAGGGAGTAGCTTTGTAGAGGATTATGACAAACCTTTACAGATTAAATGAGGTATTGCACAGATTAATAAAAAAAAGCAAAAAAGGCAACAAAAATATACAGCAAATTGGTAGAACATTTACATGATAATTTTACAGAACCCATAGACAGAAAGTAGTGTTTAGTATTTCACCTTAAAAATATATATATAATATATAGATCAGTCTTCCCATTCATCATCATCCTCAAAATCTTCTTCATCATCTTCATCCTCATCTTCATCTAGAAGAAAATCATCAAGACAATTAAAACATGTATAAATAAAATATTACATATTTCTTGGGTGATTTCCCCAATTACTCAACTTCTGAAACACAAAACATTTGATGCCTAGAGGAATCTAGTTACTAAGATAGCTTAAAATGAAGCTAATAAAATACATCTAAAGAAAGTGATGGTGAGTTGAAGATTAGAACAGGAGTCAGAAGACTTAGGTTCTAGTCTCAGCATCTACGGTACAAATTTCAACCTGTGGGTTTCTTTAGGTGTAAAATCACATTTAGGTTGGCCTCTCTGGATTTCAGATTCACATATCGCAAATCCAACCGTCTTCCTGTATTCTTCACTTCTAAAGTTTTATCTCCTTCTCCAACCTGCTGCTCCCCCTTCACACTAGTTTGCCCCCTCACTTAACGGCCTTTCCACTCTCAGGTGGTTGGGCCAAAAACCTAGAAATTATTACTGATTCCTCTGTTTTCACCATCCCTCCTATCCAATCCATCAAGAACGCTCCTTTTCACCAATCCCACTGCTATTCCCACACCACTATCAGATTTTGCTTGGATTATTGCAACTCTATAGTTCATTTGCCTCAGAGCAAATGAAGTGATATTTACATTCTAAGTTTTAAAAATATGTTTCTATACTACTTTAAATCCTCCAGTGGCTG